GACATGTATATATGTGTATAAGTATATATGCGGTGGGTGCATATATGTGTGTAGGTGTGTGTATGTGGGTGCATATATGTATGTAGATGTATGTATGTGGGTATATATATATATATATATATATATATGTGTGTGTGTGTGTGTGTGTGTGTGTGTGTGTGTGTATATGTGTGTATATAGATGTTAAGTAGAAGTAATGTTAGGGATAAAATGTAATGACATTGTTATTTAAATATGAAATGTTTGTTAAAAATTAATCAACATTTTATTTACTACAAATATTAATGTTATGATCATTTTATTGTTTTATCGTTTAATTATCAGTTTATCACCATTTATTGTTATCAAATCGTTAAAAAAAATTAAAATAAAAAGAAAATTAAAATTTACAAATTGTATTTTGAAGAATTGAATAAGGTATATATCATAAAATTGAAAATTCACAAATTATATTTTAAGAAATTGAATAAGGTATATATCATAAAATTGAAATTTACAAATTATATTTTGAAAAATTGAATAAGGTTATATCGTGAAATTAAAATTTGCAAATTATATTTTATGGAATCAAGTAAGATATATATATATATATTATTTAAAATAAATTATATCACTGAGGACAACAAATGTATTGTAATAAATTTCATATAAATGAATTTTCCAATTTTTTATTTTCATTTTCTATTTTCTTTTTTTTCATTCATTCCTTGTTCGATCTGTTTAATTAATTAACTGTTTATGGTGTTTTATTTGAAATTCATTTGAAATGATTAATCAGTTAATTAATTAATTCGAAATTTAGCTTCAAATGATAATCTGTATGAAAATTTTGATTGGAATAATTACGTTCCTGGTTGTGGCTAGCATTAATCAAGCATGTATAATTAATGGTAAGACATATGAAAATGGTGATATTTGGGTTAGTTAATCTTATTATCGTTTTTTGTTGCATATGAAAAGAAGTGATAAAATTTAATTGCTGATAATTAATTCATTTCTCAATTTACATATGTTGGAAATTAATTTTGCCATCATTTTAAGAAGTTTGTTTTCTCCTCAACAATCTATTTAAAATTGTTTGTAATAATCTTTGATCAAGAAGTTTTTGATCAATGATTATCGTGAAATAAAAAAAAAAAAGAAAAAAAGAAAAAAACGTAGGATTAGATAGAGTAGCTGTAATGTAAATTCTATAAAATTTCAAAAAAAAAGAAAAAAAAAGAAGAAATGAAATGATTTTGTTTATTATTTTAATAATATAAAATTTTCCATTAGTTTAAATCATTTAAAATAATTGAAAACAAGTTTAAATTCAGAAAAAAAAAATTCTAATTGCAGATTAAGAAAAATTTTGAACTAGAATGTGTTAAAAATATTAATGGTTCATGGAGGATGAAAATTATTGCATGTTTAGCATCAGATGGTATACGATTACCTGTAGGAAGCAAACTTACAGTAGACGGAATAAAATACACGTAAGTATTCATATACACTTCTTTCATCTAACTTAACTTTTTTTTTTAGTCATATCTTGAATAAATTATAGATAAAAATGAAAAATGCATCATCGAGATTTCCCTAGATTCTCCGGTGATAGAATGCATAAAGTTGATGTTAATAAAAATAAATTTCCCAGTAAAATTTATAATCTAACCTAGTTAATGCGAAGCTATCAGTATAGCTATCAGTACCAGTATTAGCTATCAGTATAAGCTATCAGTATCAGTATTAGATATATCAGTATTACCTATCAGTATTCATTTAATTAATTAGTAAGTGATATTAATAACCAATTAATAAGTGACATTAATCTTTAAGCATACCTGAAATTTTTAAGATATATTTTTTTAATTTTAATACAGCTTAAATTTATTGTCGAGCAGAAATTAAACCTTTTTATTAAGCCTGACAATTTCAATAAAACATTATTTGACAATGTTTTATAGAAAATATGAAATTAAGTGAAATTTGCATTTTTTTTCGGTTTTAAAATCATTTAGACATATCAATGGAATCATGGCAATTATCATTATTAATTATTATTATTATTATTATTATTATTATTATTATTATTATTAT